TGTAGAAAAAGTATAATTAACTCATAGATATTTGTCTAAATATCTATTGGGTTTCAAGTGCAAATCGCGCAGTGTCTACAAATTGAAGAATGCGAATTTAAAATTTCCGACAAAATGTTTTTACTAGAAAAATCAACATCTCAATCGAAGCGTGTCCTCGATTTTATAAAAAATCGTGCTACCTTGTATTACAATTTTTTTTATCCGCAGTTCCGGCGCTTCTTAGATTTTAAATCCACTCGACCGAATAGCAAATCACTAATAGGAAACATCGAAAAAATACGAAAAAACACTGAAGAGCCAACAAAACTGTCAACTGCCTTCAAATTGCATCACAGAAATAAATATAGTAGTAGATATCTGAAGTCCTATTAATAGGACTACGTTTAAAACCTTTTGAACAATCATAAATAAAGACGGTTTTTCTGTGAAGACGAACTAATGATAATTTAGTAAGATGTGTGTGCAAACAAGAATTATTTAGTGTGAAGTGACACATTGTGGGTCCAAGAAACTAAACAAATCGTATATTAAAAAATCAGTTCAAAATGCTAGTGATAAATCAGTTAAAAATGCCATACTATCAACCCATAAGGTGAAAAAACTTTACCATTAATTTAAATATGAATAAGTTCCTACTATTTTCTAATTTGTTCTACTTCTGTGCTACAAACATGTAAATTTATTTTTATAAAAGTGAAAAATTATGTTCAGATAAATAAAATGTGAAAGAAAATTATATAATTTCTTTTTTCCACGTTGAACAATGCATATGTGTTCTTCAAAAGTTGACATGGGAACTTTAGGTAAGCAAAATTTTATGAGTTTTTAATAGATTTCTTACACAATTTGAATTTAATTACAATGTTCCATCTTTAACGAGGTAAAAGTTATCATTAACTATTTGGAATGACAAATGTTGTAAAAAATTAACGAAAAAGAAACATTTTTGAGCATTATTTGCTTTCTTTGGTAATAATTTTAAATTAGTAGCAATATTTTTGTCGAGGGAGTCTAGATTTTGGGAAATCTAGTTTTCTTTGAGGTATAAATAATTTTATCAAACCAAAACATATTCCGTTATTAAATTTGCAAATAATTAAAATAACTATTAATGGAAATTACCTTGCAGGTAATTAGACAGTTTTATATATAATTATATATTATATATAATGAAGTATCTCCATTTATCAAAATGTCATTAACAGTTCAAGTGACCCAATAAATATAATTAATAAATTATATTATGATACTAATATGTTATTTGCTATTAATAAATGAGGTGTTGGATATGCATATTATTAGTAATTATAAATTGATGTGTTGGGGTCATCCAAAAAATTTTTTTGAGGTCATGTAAGAGGTAAGTAGTACCATTTTCTTCTTTTGATAGATGTGTAAAATAAATGTATTTTGTAGTCATATAAATATATAATTAATGGCACGAATGATTGATGGATATTATTTAAAGATATAATTTCAAAAATTGTTGTCTACTTACAAGTAAAAAAAAATCAGGCGCACATAAGTAAGTAGTTAACAAATTAAAAAAAAATTAAATAAAAGGTAAAACAATTTTTTTATAAATTAAGCAAATGTAAGTAATGAGAATGATAGTTATATGTTGAAAAACTCTCATAAGAAATTGATCAGTCCCATATAGTTCAGGCGTAATAAAAGTCTGCTCCAGAAGCCATTATTAAAGTCAAAGATATTCAAGTATTACTTTTGAAAACAAATTTGCTAACTATTCCAAATAAATTTATATAATATAAATGGGAGATTTCAAAACTACCATAAAATGATTACCTACTAATATTTTAAAGTCTATCAGTATAACTGCTTTTCTGATATGCACCTGACAAAAAATGAAATTAAAAGGAATATTATGAGTCCATAAAGTAAAAGATTTGAATTTGGATCTAATTATTTAACGTTTATTATGAAATGTTATATGTGATCATCAGATTTTGTAATAAAATAATAAATCGAAGCCACCAGGACATTTTAGGGTAAATATTGTTTCCCTCGTCGTATGTATTACTAATTTTATCAAATAGATTGCCTATTCCTATTTTTATCGTTATTCTCCAAAGCAAACTCTAGAAATCACAAAATTCTGCCACTAAATGCATTATCCAAAATTTTTTCATATAAAACTGACCTTTATCCCCCTTTTTCTTATGGGTTGACCTCATGGAGTTCCAAATGGTGCAACTTTTACGCACTTTAACACCGGTTTTTGCGTACAAGTCCATTTCACTACCATAGTCTTTCTTTTTGGAAAACTTCTTTTTAGCAGAGTTTCCATTATGATTATTATTAATATCAGTCGTGCTACCGAATAAGGAGACTAAACGGTTGTGAAGACCCATTGTAAAAAATTATAATGGAACTTCAAACTTTGATCACTGAACACAACATTATCACCACAAGTACACAAAAATATTTACTTAAAACAAAATGCTCATAAACAATCCATTAAACGTTTCTGTTGCTAGGCGTCAATCTTTTCAACAAATGAAAGTCTATCAAGTATTACATTTTTCATGACTTGCCAAAATTATAAACTATAGACAAGTGTTATTTTTAATACGTATTGCGCTATGAACAATTCATACAGACTGAATGGGACTTTCTTTATCGCGGACTTTCCCATCTTTCTCCTACCACTTGAAGACAATACGACTCCCTACCAATTATTCGTTGGATTAGACTCGCAAAAATTATATTTTAAAGATATAGATACAAATAATAATATATAAAGAATTATTCGAGCGCCCGAAAACGTAGAGGAAAAACTGTGGACACACAAAACAAACACACGCACACACACTTTTGTATTCCAAAATGTTCAGTAACCTTCAAAACGTGAAGAAATGCAAAAATTTACATTTTCGATTTTCGGCCCATTACTATAACTTACCCTATTGGGGGTTAAAAATCTATATCTTGACATTTTTATTAGATGATTATGTTTCAATCATCTTTAGTTTTTGTTTTTGCAATTGATACACTAGATGGGTGATGTCGAGAATCATAAAGAGTTATTACGATAAACAGTGCACAAAAATAAATCTATTCCATTTATTTTCTATAAAACAATCTAAATCTTTTATACCACTCCCAAAGTGAAAATAGTTGTCGGTACGCGCCTTGGGAACAGATGTTCATTGAGAGACACTAACTAATTTTCTCATGATAAATTCTCATGAACGCCTACTCACCTGTACACACTGTTTCATTCTTAAGAAAATGTTATGCACTTAAGACAGCATTCTGTCATAGGTGGAATGAACATTGTTGAAGATAAAATTATTGCTAAAGCTCAACTACAATTATGTATGCAAATATTGTTTCAGTAATCAATCAAAAATCTTAGTTATATATGGATGGCGTCATAAACGCAGAGTACTGCTTGGTACAAATATCTAACACTATTCTCTTTGTTTTTCAACTAAAACATTTATGTATGTTTTTTATAAAGATATTTGCTTTAATGCTTTAATTTTCACAATGAAAAAAACCAAAGTATTAAAAATATAATACTTCAAAAAAAATAAAACGTTGAATAATTTTAGTTATGATAAAGGAACTTTTACAAAAATATAGATGCCTTATCGCAAATGTTAATCATAGTTTCTGAGAAAGCCAATATGTAAATTTTTTATGTAACTAATAATAATAATTAATATTATGAGATACCGGAATATAACATAACGTATTATTTAATTTAATTATGAGTTATGTATTTATTTCCATTACTTCATTGTTTGTAACTCATTTTTAAACAAACTAAATTATAACAAAAATCTAATAAAAATAATATGACTTAGTAGGTACTTCAATTTTCAAATATTCAGTACGAATTTGTATACACCAATAATTACAAATATAATTATCAATTCCAACTTGCTAATAAAAACAAGTCATTAATTACACATAATCAATTACCACGGTTTAATACTTTTCCTCGTGTATCACTTCTCGCAGATGATTAATTATTATTATACGTTCGGAAAGCATAAAAATCGACGTATAAAGTAAAATTTACCGTGTATAAAAATAAAATGCATATAACCCATAAACCACACTACCTGACTCTCGTTTTCACAACCTAAATAATATAACGTTTAATTGATACCAAAGCAAAGTCTTATTACTCGTCCAGTAATAATTAGACTGTGAAATCAAAACGATTCACACGAAAAATATCCATATATAGTGAACAACTAACTTTCTACAAAATTCGAAACTTTTGTACAATTTATCAATGCAAGAAAGGAAATTATCGAGAGCTTGCGGAATAATGCATTGTGGTCGAAGAATTTGGCGATTTTGGTAATTGATATATAATAGGTCAATGGTGATAATAGATATTTTAGTATGTGGAAAGCATCCACGTAATCCATTGGATGATAATAGCCCTGACTTATCAAATTGTTTTTAAACTTTTAAAATCGGTGAAGTAGTTTTTGACAAAACGTCGACAAAAAGCCAAGCTTTGGCTCACACCCAGGTACTTCTCCCAATTTTGGTGTCGAACGCCTCAAAATGATCCAAACGTCGTGAAAATATAAAATTAGCAAATTGGATTTTCTGGCAAAAATAACGTTATTTTCAGGTTAAAAAATATTTACATTAGAAACCCCCGAAGACTTCTTGAACTCGCAAATTCCATACATTAATTTTTACACCTCACTCTATGGGAATATTAATAAAGATATGTGTATAATTTTTATTACTATTCCCATAGAGTTTATTTATATGCAATTTAATTCGTGATTCAGAGAAATCGATCCAACGTTTTTAAATTATTTGTATGTTCTGCCTATTGTTTCCGCTGGTGGTAATTTCATTTTCCATTAATGAAATACGCGGATAACTAAAGGAAATGAGAATACGGCTTCCGTGTAATAATAGGCGATAAAATTACCAAAGCCGATTGAACGTTCAGTGTCTAAATAGTAAATAGTAAATATACAGTTGAACAAACATACCTTTCAGTGGTGCAGATTTCGCAGAAGATACGGGTCGTTTCGAAGAAATGATTTTTCTTGGAACTTTCGGCTCGGCCGGAGGACCCCCGCCGCCGTTGCCGACGTTGCCGGCGGCGTTGGAGTTCGAGGCTGGACTGAGACCTCGTTTTTCTGGAAAAGAAAGGAATGGTAAAAATATTTTGTGAAAATTATAAATTGCAAAAACATTAACTCCCCGTAGGGTAAATTATAGTAATCGCAAAAAATCTAAAATGAAATATTTCTAAATATTTATGGATGTGTGTGGGTGTGTGTGTGTGCGGATACAAATTTTCGTCGACCGAGATTTTGTTTTAACACGATTTCGTTGAGTTTAGCACGATCAAAAAATATTTAATTGAAATATTATCTATTTCAAATTTTGGTCGTAAAATTGAACCCTTTTAACAAAATGTACAAATGGTTTTGTATTGTAAGGTAAATGAAACTTCACGTAAAATAAAGTGTTTTTCAAGATTAATTTATAGTCATAATATTAGTTTTAATTAATTGTTAGCGATTAATAATTAAACTATAATGTTGGTAATAATCTTTGAAGAAAACTATATCTACTTAATGGATCTAAGAGTTACAAATTAATATTAGATGCCAAATCGATGATTTTCAGGAGTGCATTGAGAAAAATATTCCAAGAATGAAATTTTCCAAGAATCATAAATTAAGTAATCAGTTTTAATAAGAGATGAAAATTTGTAATTCTAGATAGCAAAATATAAAAGTATGCATGATCAAAAAATAAAATTTTATTCCTGATTCAGAAACACCAAATAATTGGAAAATTGTGTATGCTTATTCCAAAAAAATAGCATGATAGACCAAATAATAAACAATATTATATTCTTGATAAACAAAATAGTAACCAGAAAATTAACAATATTGTGTTGACCATAATGATATTATAGTTTTTATCCAGAAAATAGTATGTCTGACAAGAATATAGGTCATTTCTGTATTTTTAGTCAAGGGTTAGAATATAGAGCAGAAAAATTGTGTAATCTTGATACAAAAACTGATCTAGAAATTGGTATGTATGATTCATAAAATATAAAATATAAATATTAATACTCTTAATTCAGTAGATTGTATACAAGACCATAAACAATTGTGGTATACAAGATCAGAAATTGTAATATTACCTTAATTAATGTAAGCACATATTTTAGTTTAAAAGAGTGAGAAATAACATGGATTTAAAAAAATCGATGCATGTACTTAAAGATTAATATTCCATCACCTCTAATTTATTTCCATTCAAACGAACAATTACTTGCGTATGAAATTATTCGCAATTCTCAATTATCGTTGCACACGAAATGCGTTTCTTTTCAAGAAAAGTAAGGCGATAAATTAAAATTAAACTTTTAATAAGCCTGCGGGGTACGTGAACCAAAAGTGAATCTTAATAGAGAATCAACGATTTTTTATGCGAATTCAGATCGAACAAATGGAACGTAATATAACATTGGTATATGAAATAGATGAACAATAGAGATTAGTTGCAAAAAGTAGAAATAATAGAAAAGTTATAATTTAAGTAATAATAGAAGTGCTTAATAACTTATTTAACAATCATTACTATAACCAGTTTTCGAATGAAGAATTAGACTGGTGACCCGATAAGGCACATAAATAAGCAAAAGTGAACATCAAGTTAACTTCGCACGACCAACACGCCCGGGTATATCATTATTGCAATTTAGATCGATCGAACGATCAATCGATCTATCGATCGATCAATTCCTATTCAGATCAACGATTACCGATTAAGGTACGGAGATTAACATCAAATGCATTATGAGAAACGAGCGGTAGGTCGGAGTAGTGTGAAACCTATAAATATGCGAATTTAGTCGAGATCTGCTCTATGGTTTCTAAAGAAAGTATATGGCGGATCTGCTCGGATAAATAAGCAATGCGAACCGCCGAAGCGA